CATTATTTTATTACACATGGCCAAAAAAATATTTTATTAACATGCAAGAAATTTGTTTTATAGGCAAATCTCCTGCAAACACTTTAAAACTCAATAACTTAAGGGGGTGGCCGTGGTTTTTGATGGGCATATTCCTAACAGTAACAAGGGGAAAGAATCTTATTATATGAAAAGGAGAACAGAAACATAATACAATTAAACAAAAAAAAACTTTCCGCTACCATCAGCAAATTCTCTAATAGGAAAAGCTAAAAATGTTTGCTAAGTTCCCTGAAATTTAAGATTACCACTTTTTGGTCGCTTGGTATTAAAAACCTCTTTTTTTTTTATACCCTATAAGAACGGAGATTTCACATTTCTGGAAACTCAAATAACAAAGAATAGAATTTGGGCTACTGGATGTTGGTGGTTACAGATATGAGAGTTGAGTCAGTATTTAAAAAGTGTTTAATCCATTGCCTCAGGAGCCTCCATAGCTCCTTAGTCAAGTCTTCTTCAAGGTCAACTGGCCAGGGCTCCAGATTGACTCACAGATCCAGGCTTGCATCCGATATGAACCCAACATCTCTACCAAAGACACAAGTATTAGGTGGTTCCTATGGCTTGATGATTATTTTTACTGCATTGGCCTAAACTTCTCCTACTTGGCCCACAAGATGCCATCAAAAGCTCTCTCCAGGTCACACCAAGTGTCCCTGCCCACCGTAAAGCGCCTCGTATGTTGCAGGTGATGTCAAGTCAGGTTCATCGTAGACTCCAACTGCCCCTTGGAACCCTTCCCATGGTGCCTCCCTTCTTTGGCTGGCCTGCTGGAGTCAATAAAAAAAGACGGGAGACCCACAATTAGTGGCTCTGGTTATAGAAATGCTTGTTTGCTGAACTGCCTAAGATCAAGGGACTAACCGTAGTGGCAGGAGGCCATCTTGACCTGGAGGATGGAGGGTAAACGCCTTGTACTTCCTCATACTCATGGACATCAGAGTCCCCATACCAGTCTTCATATCCAGCCTCTAGAGCACACAACAGGACAAGCAAATGGGAAATCATCACAATGGGCCACGGGTCTTTGGTTTCCATGATTGTATGATCAATATAGATTTGAAGGAGATCTCTGCTTAACTTTATTTATAATTTCACAGAAGACCAAGCTACAGAAAACCATTTATTCAGTTTAAACTATGTACCCCTGGAAATGTTCCTGTATGGGTGAAAATATTGTCAAGGAAGGGAAATCTGGCCAATGACACCCCAGACAGAGAGTCTTACCCTTCCGGCAACTCACAATGTATTCTCCCACTTCAATATATTTCTTGTATAATGGACCCTTATTGAAAAGCCAACCCGGGTTAGTAGCTATGATCTTACTGACCTGTCCAGTCCTGGAGCCGCGGGTCCCCTCTCTCTGCACTCTCATAGTGAGGGGAGAGGGATGGCTGGTAGTCCCGTGTAGGATAGTAATAGAGACCAGACTCTGATGTGCTGTCCTAAGGAGATGACAATGAAGACCAGGTCAGCAAACTCTTCCATAACCACCATCACTCATCCATAATTGCAGTCCATCTCACCTGGTACACACTGGACCCGGTTTCTGAGCCGCTGTCAATCAGCAATGTCTTCTTGGCTTGAGTGTTGATAAGTTCTCCATCTCCATACTCATTAAGGGCACCTTTGGGTATGCTAAGCAGCAATCAAGAATACATTATAGCGCAACCTTCAAGGAACCCCCTTCTGAGAAATATGTGAGGACCCCTATGGTCATGCTGACCCAATGGCTTCAACCCTAAGTCACTGCAGAACTCCATACCAGAACTCCAAACCCCCATCTTTTGTTCCAGGTCTGTGACTCACAAAGTATTAAAGCCATTGGATCAGCACAACAGCAAGGCATTTATATTACAGGAATCTTGAAAAATAGTACTAGGTCTTACTTTCGGGGTAGGTCTTATTTTCGGGGAAACAGGGTAGTAACAAGCACATGGGAAGAAGGAAATACAGTTCAATATTAGGAATCTCACTGATAAACACGTGACACAAGCCAGCCAGTAATAAGTGAGGGGGAGGAGGGAAGTACTCAGCTTACATACTGCCTGTGCATTCTGTGTTCATTCCTCTTGGGACAATCAAACAAGAAACACTGGGAACATAACGTTACACATTGAAGATAAAGATTTCAGCCACAGTACTAGACCTCACCTGTCGTCTTTCTTTACGGCATCTCCTGTGAAAGGCACGAGGCAGGAGAATTAGACAATTTAGGACATTTATAAACCACAATATATGCAATAGAGCGTTTAATCAGAACTGACAAAAAACAAACAGATGCATTTGATGCACATGACAGGAGGTGCTTTTCCTGACGCATGTTTGGATGCCCGTGCTCAGACTTTTACCTTCTTTTTTTCTCATCCTGTGTCTCCTCACCAGGCAACAGACAAGACCTGCATTGGATATGATAAGCAGAGCCCCGCCTCCTCCCATTGCAGCAAACAAATATGGCGTCCAAGCCAAGGCATCTGGGTAATGGAAGAAAAACAAACGCACATTTGTGGGATTCGGGCAGACATTTCGGCAAGCAAGCTTTAGCTTTTAACTCAGGGAAAAGGAGTGGGGGGGGGGGGGCAATGGTGCAGGGTGTGCATAGCTGTAGGCTTCATTAGGGAAGCTCAGGAATATATGACTGGTAAATCAAATTGTATATTGACCCCAAACATCTTCCAGGTTCTCACAAGGTGGCCCCATCCTATCTCGGTCTCTCACCTGCCTGTGGTGTAGCCGGCGTTGATGCTTCTGGTTTTGAGATCTCCACTTGGAAGTCCGCTGAAAGGAGAATAACACAAACCCCCTTTAATGTTAAATTGGTTGGAATTCTTGTCTGGCAATCTCTTCACTCTCTCTATATGGTAGATCAAAGTTTTAAACATAATAGTCCTCTTAGACTAGGGCTCCTCAGGGGTGTGGCATAGTGGTCGGGGGGGATTATGAAATCATGGGTGGAGATATATCAGGTGACTAAGTGACAGATTAAGTGACTGGGTAATAATAAAGCTGATAAAACCAAGGACAATGTCCAAGAAGATCTGCCATTTAACCTGAAGCCTCAGCCACTGACTACGAGAGAGATAGCTGAGACAAAGACAACCAATGGACTTGGTTGGACAGACCCTGGTAATTGTTAATGGGCAGACACTTGTAATTGTTAATGGGCAGACCCTGGTAATTGTTGATGGGCAGACCCTGGTAATTGTTAATGGGCAGACCCTGGTAATTGTTAATGGGCAGACCCTGTAATTGTTAATGGGCAGACCCTGGTAATTGTTAATGGGCAGACCCTGGTAATTGTTAATGGGCAGACCCTGTAATTGTTAATGGACAGACCCTGGTAATTGTTGATGGACAGACCCTGGTAATTGTTAATGGACAGACCCTGGTAATTGTTGATGGACAGACCCTGGTAATTGTTGATGGACAGACTCTGGTAATTGTTAATGGACAGACCCTGGTAATCGTTGATGGAGAGAACCTGGTAATTGCTGATTCGGTCAAAATTCTTGTCTCCACCTAACAGTCCTTTAATTCTGCCTGTTGTAGGTCACAGTTTAATTGTCAGACCTTTTCAAGCACATTAGTCCTCCAGAATACGACTCCTAGGGGATGTGACCTAGTAGTCAAGGAGATGGATGAAACTGTGGGTGGCAATGTATGAAGTCATATAGCAGGAGACTGAGTCAAGGTCCAAACAGGAACATCTTCCAAGGACATCTGCCTGTAAGGACAGCAATAGCTAGCCAATTGCCAAGTAGATGCTAGTGACATGGTGTTCTCCCTCCCAGGAAGAGCTGTATGTTTACTCAGCCTACCAAGAATGTGCACGGGGTCAGTATATAGAACCTGTCAAACACGCAATGATATCATTCAGCTTTAAAGTTGTCTGACAACATAAAATTTTGGCTTCCCGGAGAACAGAAAACTTTCCCGATCACCTTTGTATTGTGACCCCCATCCCCCTCCATAGGTAACCTTGTGTGGTGACCGTAATGATGGCATTTCCATCTGCGTAGTCGCTGTCTCCCAACACGTTGATGGCGTTGACTGAGAAGTTATAGGCGGTGCTGCCCTTTAGGCCCGAAATGGTAAACACCGTGGACTGAGGTGGGAAGACATCCACATACATGTGACTGTCCACGCCGCTCCACCGGTACCTTAAAAAAAACAATTTTGCATTATTGAATGCAGAAAGATGATGTTCATTGGTGACCTCTCTAATGGAGAAGAAAGAGTTCAACCGCAGCTCCACCCTTCGGGGTAGTGTGATCCCAAAGTGATATTTTGGGGTATGATGAGCTGTCTCATCTGTTGCCTTCTTAAAGCTGTTACAGATGACACCCCTGGCAGGTGACCACTTGGTCTCCACCAGAGTACCCCACAAGGATTGATGGGCTGGTCAGACTAGCGGCCCCCAGGGCTACTTTCCTGCAAGGTGACACCAGGCTGAGGCCCTCAGGATCCCACTAAGTGGTTGCAGGAACAAGGTGACTAAGCTGTGGAGACAAGATAGGGATACTGCGAGAGGTCAGTGTACAGGTAGAGGTCAAGACAGGCAGCAGGCAAGAGAGTAGTAGATGTCCAGGAAGAAGTGAAGGCAGGTGGCAGCCAGAGAGTAGTTGGTTTACATGGGGAGGTCATGGCAGGCAGTAGGCAAGAGAGTAGTCGATGTTCTGGAAGAAGTGGAGGCAGGTGGCGGCCATGGAGTAGTTGGTTTACATGGGGAGGTCATGACAGGCAGTAGGCAAGAAAATAACAAGCAAAAGTCGACAATGTGTGTAATGTATATGTAGTACATATACAGCACACACCTCCACTACACTGCAGCAATAGATTTACAATTCTCCCCTGCTAACATTAATAGGTTAAATCATGATCCATAGTACATAACATGTAGTTGTACTATGGATCATTTAAAGTCACCTGTCCCTTTAAGAAAAAGTATCGGTAATTGGTATCGGCAAGTACATGAGGGGAAGTACTTGAAAAAGTGGTATCGGGACATCCCTAATAGTAATGTTATAATATATATATAAATCACAGCTCACCTCACACGGAACCTCTGCTCCAGGCCGCCATCAAAGCCAGCACTCCACCCCAAAGTGATGGAATTATGTGTGAAGCTGAGGACTTTCAGGTCGGATGGAGGGTCCGGACGACCTGGATAGCAGAAGGGAAGAGAAGCATTAAATAAATCAGACAGTGAGTGTATGGTACTGTTATGCCATATTCGTTTATTACATAAGCAGGCCCTGCTTCCTGCTCCACTGTGCAGCACTAGGGAGCAGGGAGCAGGGCCTGCTTCTGTAATAAGCATACACGGTAAACCATTAACATACAGAATATCGATAATAGACATCAAGCTGATCTGCTTTACATGCACAAAAAAAAACTGTAAAGACTAAACATTCCCTTTAATCTTCACAGATACCCTCCAATGTGCTACAAGGCCTCTGAGAACAACAAGGAACATGTTATTGCGTCATACGGCTTCTGTAGAGTGCTTGGGTAGACAGTGATTTAGTCTTACTGGTGCTGACGAGGTGGATGGAGAAGATGTCCAATCCAAGAGCGTTGGTGGCGGTGCATGTGAAGATGGCGTAGTCATGCACCGCGCTGACGTTGGCGATAATCAGAGTGCTGGTGTGAACCCAATGCTCGTGGGACATCTGGACCGAGTACCTACAAGACACGCCCCCTCCCCCGTGTCACAGTCATAAAGGAGACAATCACACCAGGAAAAAAAATTATGAGATACTCTTTGGAATAGCTCTTCAGCCACCTACAAAACCAAGCTGGAGAGTCTCATTCCTGCTGCTGTATTCATGGCCTTGTGATGGCAGTGGGTGAAGCTGGGAACACATGCAGAGATCTTAGAGATGCGGTGGAGCCAATGAGGAGCCAGCAACCGAACAGTGAGATACAGTGACGTGCCTTCTGTGCTGGGTGAGGCATCCCCCAAGCCCGCCGGAGCTCTGCTCCCGTCCCACCAAAGCCCCGCCCCCAGTTTGGTAACCAAGGTTTGTGGGGAGGAGGAAGGGAGGAGACAGGGAGGAGCCATGGAGTAGTTGGTTTACATGGGGGGGTCATGGCTGACAGTAGGCAAGAAAATAACAGGAACAGGCAAAGTCGACAATGGGGGCAGGAGATATGGGCATAGTCGGCAATGGGGGGCAGGAGGTATGGGCAGAGTTGGCAATGGGTGATGGAGATATGGGCAGAGTCGGCAATCGGGGCAGGAGATATGGGCAGAGTCGCCAATGGGGGCAGAAAATATGGGCCGAGTCGGCCATGGGGGCAGGAGATATGGGCAGAGTCGGCAATGGGGGCAGGAGATATGGGCAGAGTCGGCAATGGGGGCAGGACATATGGGCAGAGTCGGCAATGAGTGCAGGAGATATGGGCAGAGTCGGCAATGGGGGCAGGAGATATGGGCAGAGTCGCCAATGGGGGCAGGAGATATGGGCAGAGTCGGCAATGGGGGCAGGAGATATGGGCAGAGTCAGGCAATCTGGGTCAGTATCGAGCAATGGCGCTTTGCCATTGGCCCAAGCCATCCACAGAGCTCACGCCTCTAGCTCTTGCCTCACCAAGTTAGGTTACACAAGCAGTGGGGAAGCCCGCTGCTGTGTAACCTAACTACCTGTCAAAAGCCAGATGCAGCGCTGCCTGTAATTAACAGGCAGCGCTCTGTCCATGACAGGTTACACAGCGGGGAGGATTACCTGCTGTGTAACCTGCAACAAGCTGCTCTGAATGGAGAAAAAGCTCTCAGCTTCAGACTCGAAGAGGACACCTTTTGCCTCCCCTGACCGCACGTCCCTGGTGAGATAAGGCATCACAAGAAGGTTACCTGGGGTTCTTGAAATCCAGAGTCACTCCATTTTTCGCCCAGCTGAATGATACGGATGGGATCCCCTCAGCTTTGCAGAGGAGGCCAGTGGAGGTCTTCCCATCTCCTGCTACAGCCACCTTGCTCAGGTGCACCCCCTTCTGTATCTCTGGCTTAACTGCAGGACGCAGAAAAAAAGGTATTTAAAGCCGAAATACAGGCAATTATAAAAGACACATATTAGACTTAAAGGAAAGCTATGATGGGAGGATTATAGGGCAGCCATAGTTGACCTCCTTCTGAGTCACTGACCCAACCAGCATGTAGAGTATAATAACATGAACGGGTTCTTACAGCGCACAATCAAGCGAGCGTCGGCCTTCACGGCTGGAGGCACCCCGTTTTCTACCGTGCACTCGTAGCGTCCGGCATCTGACCTCTTAGCTTCAGTGATAATCAGGCGTCCGGTGAGACCGTCAACTTTTCGCTCCAGACCAGAGAGATCGCGGTCTTCGTCCCCCTGCCAACAGGAAATAGACATCGGTCAACGATCCAATTATCTTTCAAGGTATCTCCAGTTCAACGGCTGAATGTAGAGATACAGAGAGGAAGAGCACACCACTGGTCCAGAAGTTTCACTTTTCATCCGAGCATCGCCTATAACCTGGAGTTCTGGGAACATCTACTCCATAGTGCTTGATTGTGCCGACCAATGATTCCCAGCCCCGCCCATAAAACTCCCTCTGCAGTCCACATTCCTGGTCATTTAGAAATGAATTGTTCACACCCCCATTCTCCCTTCTCAACAGCGTTCCCACAGGAAGCATTACAGGAATACATGAAAACAAGGAATAGGGAGGTTGTTTCTTACCAGCCACCTCCACTGGAACATGCCGTCCGTGGCCGGATTGGCATCAGCTGTGCACACAATCTCCGCTCGGCCCCCCAAATCCACCTCTGTAGGGTCCCCAAGGCTACGAATAGTTGGAGAGTCTGTAGAGGAGACAGAAGGTCAATCTTCGAGGGGCAGATAGGGTTCTCTTCGTAATGTAGACATGATGTGAACAACTGGAGGGGAAAGGGGATTGGTTGGGGCAAGAGGGGCCTTTGTCCCAGGTAAAAGTTCATGAATGCCCATGATGCTGGGAAGAAAGGGAATGTTCAACCAACCAACCAACTAGCCAAGCAGCCAACCAACTAGCCAACCAACCAGCCAACCAACCAGCAAACCAACCAGCCAACCAACCAGCCAACCTACCCACCCACCAGGTGGGCAACCAAAATAGACCTTGTCTTTGAGTTTGTCTGTATAGGTGGTAGGTTCTTACAATGTACGTCCAGGGTCACCATTGTGCTGTTTGTCCCTTGAGCGTTCTCACAGGTCACGGTATAGTCCCCAGAATCAGCGCGGCTCACGTTCCAAATTTCCAGGGCGCCGGCTCCGCGCAGGTGATGTCTGTAAGCTCCCTCTGCAGGAGATCAAATGAAAAGGAGAGTAATGATTAATATTATTAATCAGTTATATAATGCCAACATCTTCCAGGATTCTGCACAGACTATGGTGAGTTGTACAGATGCAGCTATCTCCCTGAGGATCTACACCTATCTATCTATGTGACAGCATTTGGAGTAGACAGGTACTCTTTATGGAGGCATCAGGAGTCTATTTTCTCTGGGGGGCCCAGGACCATGGCAGGGGTGTCAGGATGGAGAGCAGCTACAGACCGGGGAACATCCATTCCCCAATCTGCTCTGTGATGAATGAAGCAGGAAGCTGTCAAAACCCGAATGAAGTGCCGGTTACACAGGCGATCAAGCACAACCCTGTGCTTGATCATCTGTATTGGAGGGCAGGGTCTAATAGACTCCTGATGTCTCCGTAAAAAGAACCTGTCTACTCCAAATGCTGTCACATAGGGGATTAACAAAAGAATAAAAGGAATAAACAGTTCAATGTGGGATTGGCGCATCAGCACTGTGCCTGGGAACACACACCAGCAGGTGTGCATTGTAGTGCAACTGCTGGTGTGAATACAGCATAAATGGCGGACCGTGGTACAGACACGGACTGAGTGACCGATCTGTCTGGACTGTGATTCGGACCTCTGCTTGATGAAAATGTTACTCACCAGACCTCCTTGAATTTTAATTCACTACCCTAGATTAACAGTATCTCTGTATTTACTGGCATGTAATACTTCATTTTAACCACAAGATGTCACTGTTGCTCTCTTCAGGCCGCTCCCAGCCCATTCCATTCATCTCTATTAGAGCCTGCTGCTAGAACACCTTCAGGCCATACATTGCAATAAGATTGTATTACAGGAGAGAGTTTGCAGAACATTTAAATAATGTATGATAGAACAAAGGAGCTTCTCCTGTTTAATTCACAAGGAATAATGGAGCGCTGGGTGTACTCTAACGCGGAAAGCGAGGTAACCGTTTACTCGCTGTTGTGCAAAACTTTGAGCTTCTCTGCTGGGTAATAATTCATTACTTTCTGTGCAGGCGCTCCCGCAGCTCACAAGGAAAAAAAAAAAGGAAACACCATAACAATAATTATCATCGGAATTTACTGGAAACTGTTTTCTGGATGATTTTTATCTTCAGAAGATTACAGGCTGAGCTGATGCCGGCCAGGCAGATGTCAGCACTCCATTGCCTGAGATACTCCATGTGGTCTCTTGCTGGCTTCTGAGAGGACCGCACTGCCCTCCATCCGAATCACTCAGCAGGACATCAGATACTTCTAGAGACATATCTGGCCTTTCCACTTGTGTTATATATACATAGTGAGAGAGAGAGAGAGAGATGGGGGTAGATAGATATGAGAGAGAGAGATGAGAGAAGAGATAGATAGAAAAGAGAGAGAGAAAGAGAGAGAGAGGTAGATAGAAGAGAGAGAGAGAGAGGAAGAGAGAGAGAGAGAGAATAGATAGGTAGATGGATAGATAGAAAAGAGAGAGAGAGAGAGAGAGAGAGAGAGAGAGAGAGAGAGAGAGAGAGAGAGAGAGAGAGAGAGAGAGAGAGAGAGAGAGAGAGAGAGAGAGAGAGAGAGAGAGAGAGAGAGAGAGAGAGAGAGAGAGAGAGAGAGAGAGAGAGAGAGAGAGAGAGAGAGAGAGAGAGAGAGAGAGAGAGAGAGAGAGAGAGAGAGAGAGAGAGAGAGAGAGAGAGAGAGAGAGAGAGAGAGAGAGAGAGAGAGAGAGAGAGAGAGAGAGAGAGAGAGAGAGAGAGAGAAGAGAGAGGGAGATAGATATATAGAGAGATAGATAGATAGATAGATAGATAGATAGATAGGATAGATTTGTGATCTATGGGGGATGGTGGCATCCAACAAGCGGCAGATCTGAGTGAACATATCCGCATCCATAACTCGCCTCTGTTCAGCGTCTCGCCGTGCCGGGTCCAGGTGTAGGTGACCTCCGCTGGGTTGGCTCTGATGTGGCCCGGGATGAGAGCGGCGCCATGTTCCACGGCCTGGACCACCTTTGGCTGGTCGTCAGTGAACTCCGGGGGGACTGAGACAACCAGACACAACCCTTCATTAGGTGATCGTCATTGACACAAATCATAACAATGTAACAAATAAAACTTTACACAACACAATAACTTTTCCTCGGAAGGAAGAACGTTGGATATGAATGAAGGATGAAAAGGTCGGATCCAAGGATACAAAATAGCAAAACACAAATAATGACAAACAATCTCTGAGCTGGGGGAAGGGGGCGACGCTGATAAACCTGCACTGGGACTAATTGGGGACTTATGTATCCGAGGACCTCAAATCTGCTTCAATGTCCTTCATTTATAGAAGTTTTATTAGAAGGATTCGGGAAATCAAATCTAAAACATAATAATCTAGCGATATATTTATTAAATATTATAAATGTGAGAGGGAGGGGCCTCCCTGTGAACCAATCAGCATCTACTGCATTCCAGAGTGCTGTAAATCTAACAAATAAAGCTTGCTGATTGGAGGGGAGAGCTGGGAGATGACTTCACTACCATTAGACATCTAACCCGCCTAAAAATTCATTTTGTTCCGCATTTTTGGCTGGAGGTTAGGTTTTTTTTAAATGTGGAAATAAAAAAATAAAAATGCATGGGGTCCCCCCTAAATTCTCTTGCCAGACCCTTGACCCTTTATCCCCCCCTTTGATTACATTCCATTAGGAGACAGAGAGCTGCCCCTGATTGAAAACAAAGGGGCGGAGCAAGTCACATGGTATCATGATTAGCTCCACCCCTTTGTTGGCGTTTTCGGGAGAAGGCCTGTCGTTTGAGATCGTTGTTCGTCGGGATCGGTCGTGTCGGGTATTTTTTCTTTCGGCGAATCGCTGTCCCTCATCCATCATGATTGACAAGGATCGGATCTACATCGCTGGCCGACGTGATTCCCACACAGACCCCCCACAACCACTGGGCCAGGGTTGTGGGGAAGACGCCCTTGTCCTCATCAACATGATGATCAGATGCTTTGCCAAGGGGTCCCCCATGTGGGGGGCATGTTGCCTGGTACGGTGCCTACTCTGCTGTTAGAAAGAAGGGTCTGTTAAGGGATTTTAAGGGGGACCCCACGCTTTTTTTTGGCATTGGGATCCCCTCTAAAATTCCTACCAGACCTAGAGGGTCTGGTAGGAATTGTGGAGGGGACTCCACGCTGTTTTTTTGGGGGGGAGTTTTATTGTAACGTTGGACAACATCAGTTCATTCCGATTGAGCCGCTGAAAAAGTTTTTGGATGCATCCAAATTCTCGGATATTTTTGGATTCGTTATTGCTTTCATTCGGAAATTTGGAGGCATCCGAATGTCCGAATATGCCGAATTTCACTTCAGAATCTTACATATCTAAATCACTATCCTATCCCAGACGTGACCACGAAGACGTGCGAATGGTCAGGGCCGGAGGATGGTGTCTACATAAGAATACTGACTGAACAGAATTTCGGCATTTATGACACACGTGTGTATTACAACTGGTCATGTGTCTCTAATGTTACTCAAATGTTTCAGTAGTTTGAGACATACAAACAAATCTTTAGGGAGGAACTTACAGAGGACGTTGAGCTTGTAGAAAGTGTTGACGCCCTCCTTCAGGACATTGCTGTAAGCCTCACAGGCCACCCGCTTTCCATTATCTGCCGAGGACAAGCTCAGCATGACTCTACTGGAGGTCGACTTTCCACCATATTCAGCGTTCTTCACCCCCAGATCCATTGCCTTCAAACTGCAGACAGAGGTTTGGTCAATGGGTGACAGGTGACGTGACTCTTGGCACTGGTAATATGGACCATCAGTATAAAACATGCCCTCCCAATCTCCTGGAAGGACCTTCTTCCACACGCTTAGCTTGGTGTTACTCACATGACTCCTTGCTTCACCCATGTTATTTTGGACTCGGGGTTGCTGCTGCCACTGCGGCACTCCAGAGTGATGTTAGTGCCCCGTTGAAACGCCTTGGGCTCGTTGATGATTTTCACATCTAGAGGTGGGACTGAAAGCACAAAAACAAAGTATGGTTTCGGGAAGCCAGTTGGCGCATGGACCTTTTTATACCCAGTGGTGTATTTTGGCTTTGTGCTCTCCTAGGCATGACTAAACTCAGGCACCCTCCTTAATCTAAATTTGCCCCACCCCATCCTGTTTAGGACATTTTGCACAACCTGTCAGTCACTGCATACAGCGCACACGGGGTCTCAGGAGAGCTGTGCATGGTCTCAGGTGGGCTGAATGAGGTCTCAGGAGAGCTGTGCAGAGTTTTCAGGGTGGGCTGTGCGGGGACCTATGGTGGGCTGTGTGGGGTCTATTGTGGGCTGTGCATAGTCCCTTTCCCTGCATGCATGTGCTGCTCCTCTTACCTGCAGCTATAAGTGCCATCAGTACCAACAGGATACATTGCAGTCCCCCAGCCTGCTTCTGGGACATCCCGCCATCAGGTCACATGCTATGGCCAGCCCCGAGCCATCCGCTGCTTCTTCTCCACCTCCTGTACAAAGCCAGCCGGACCGCATCTCACTGGGCCCTCCCCTCCACCGGGCAGCTCTCTAATTAGGCAGCAGCTCTTAGGGTCTTGCGGCCGCCTTGTTTGTCTTATTGGGCAGCCGCCACTGACTGATTCCGTGGCGCCCAGCCTCCGCCCACTGGGCAAGTGCCCAGTATGCCCAAAGGCAAGTCCGGCCCTGTCCGCCTCATTGGTTTGGGGCTGTGTTTTCTGCCCCCCCCCCCCCACTGGAAAGTGCCGCCCTAAGCAAACGCCTAGTTTGCCTTGTGGTAGATACACCCCTGTATATAGCACTGAAAGGTTCTTTATGACCGCCCAGATATGAATGGCGCACATTGCAAAGCCTTGTTGGGAAAATGAAGCCCTGGTGGCAGTCTTTCTTGTTTGCCATCCAAGGTTTTTCTAATTTTGACTGAAGTGCGCCTTTAAGTTTGGGTCATCCAACATGACAACACTGGGAGCTGTTCTGCTTTTGAAAAGTTTGGTTAAAACATAAATCTGACCCTGGACACAAGAGTCATACTCACCCTCACATAGCCATACCCTCCTTTCTTGACCACAATGGTATGGCCAACTGTTTGTAATGTGACTTGCCCTACGTTAGAGACTTGGACATTTCCATGTTTATCGTTCTTGATTTGAACTGAGAAGGTCTGCAGATCTGCGCCAACCCCCCCCCGCAGACTTTGGCAAACGTGTATGTACATGTTCCCATGAAGTCGTAACACACTTTATCAAAGGTTTGGAAGTGAGGATCTCCAGCTGCCCAGCAATAGTCCACTTGTGGTCTGACACATCTTGGTTTCCCATTCTCTATGACGCACACTTGACGTGAAGGGCAAACAGTATTTTTGCAAGTGGGAGGTGGAGGAGATAAACTTGCCAAAAGTTTTTGTCTAGATGTTTAGCACCCTTACATAATTTACAGCTCTTGGAGAGGCAAAGTGAAAGATATCATGATGACATCATACATGTACAGATTAAAGTGGTGTGTCCTGGACTGAAAATGTAAGAGCTACAAGGTGACCCTGTTTCCCGTCACATATCTGGCGGTACAAATTTCCCTTTTTGCCACTGCAGTACATTAGGAGGTATAGAAGATAGAATCATGTAAAGTTATACCGTATATGTCCAGTTGTTTGTAGACACCTGACCATCACTCCTATGGTATATGAGCTTGTTGGACACCCCATTCCAAGACCATGGGCAATAATAAGGAGCTGGCCCCCCTTTACAGCTATAACATCCTCCACTCTTCTGGGAAGGCCTCTGCTGTAGCTGGCAGTGGTTCTACCTGCTGAGCCACCTTAGAACCTTAGATAGCTTCTAGCCTGATCTCCTGCGTATACTCAGGTAAACCTAGTTTCTGCTGAACTCCTTGCTCCTCCCTTGAACTTCCTATTTAAGCCACGCCTCTGCACTTCCTGTTTGCCAGATTATTGTGCTCCCGCCAATATCTTGCTTCCTGCTCTTTCTGTGATACAATCCTCTCATACTGCTTCCCGGGTACCGACGTTTGGCTGCTGATTCACTGACTACTCTCATCGTCTTCTGCTACATACCTGATACCTTTGGCTACTGACCTTGGCTTGTTCGCTGACTACGCTTCTGCCTGCTCCTATACTACTACCGTCTGCTTGTGTACCGAACCCGGCCTGTTATATAACGAATTTGCCTGCTGTTTCAGCTACTGGACTCTGAGCCTGATCCCAGATCGTGACAGGGTGTCTGTGGGAATTTGTGAGGTTAGGTACTGATGTTGGATGAGAAGACCCGGCTCACAATCTGCATTCCAATTCATCCCCAAGGTGTTCAGTGGGTTGAGGTCAGGGCTCTGTGCAGGACATTCAAGTTCCTCCACACCAAACTGGTCAGCCCATGTCTTTGTCAACAGGGGACAGTGATGGCGGAACAGAGAAGGGTCTTCACCAAACTGTTACTACAATATTATAAGAGCACAATTGTCTACAATGTCTTTGTATGCTGTAGCCTTAAAAGAACCTTCACCGGAAATACTGAACTCAAGCATTTGGAAGGCGGTCCTCCTACTACATAGTGTAGCTGTGATGGTCATGTGTCCATAAAAATGTATACATACGTCATAGTATTATTGTAGGGATAAAATGCTTTTATGGTGGAGCTTTGCCACTTACATTGAACATGGATCTTGGTTGTTGCAGACAGTGCAGGCTTTCCATCATTGGTGGCATTGCAGCGGTACGTGGCCTGGTTGTCACTTGGGACAGTTTCCAGGTTGATCTCCCGAGAAACAATCTTCCCTGCAACGATCTGCTTCCCTTCCGTCAGCGCCTTCTTGTCCTGAATGAAGACAGCATGGAGAGTTTGCTGAGCATTTCTCTGTTGTCACATTGAAATACTGAAGGATTGTGTGCAAAAAAAAAAAGACTAAAAGAAATACTGAAGGATGTCGTGTGGCGAGATACCTTCAGGGCCGGCCTTAGGGGTGTGCGAGCAGTGCGGCCGCACAGGGCGCCATGGCAACAAGGGCGCCGTGCGACACAGGGTTAGAAAACCCCCCTATGTGATAGCAATAAAGTTAAGTGGAAAAAAAAATAGGAAAAAAAATTAGGTTTCCCCCAAAAAAATGTAAAGTTACAAATAAAAAAGAATAAAACATTTTTTTAAAGTCCCCCCCATACATACACGCATGCAAACAGGCGTCGGGTGCTCATACGTGTGAAAACGACGATTTCGCCCATTACGCCGCACAAGTTACATATTGCCGTCGGAGTGAGAGCAATAATTGTAGGGCTATCAATCACTGATAACACTAAACTGATGAGCGGTAAAAGCTTTTAAAGCGTCACCTATGGTCAATTTTGGGCATGGTAATTTTTTTCGATTTTGCGGGTGCGCGCAATTTTAAAGCATGACATGTTTGGTGTCTATTTACCCGACGTGACCCCGCTTTTTATATTTTACCAAAAATATGGGTAATAAATGGGTGTGGTTACTAGGGGTGTGGTCACTAAAGGGTGTGGCCACTGAGGGGTGTGGTCACTGAGGGGCGCTGTAAAGCTTTCTCGCACAGGGCGCCTAAAGACCTAAGGCCGGCCCTGGATACCTTCATACAACTGCGTATTAGTTTATTGAGTGTACTCAGTCATCTAGCTCTATCGTTCTATCACTTTGAAGTAGGGAAGGCAATGGTATGTTTTTCTTATCTGAGCTCTGAGATCTCTGTGGTCATTAAACTTAGGCTGTCCATATACGCTTAGAACCTGACCTAATGCAATATTTGGGCCAGGACTGAAGGCAACTGGAGGAGACCAGAATGGACAATAAGAGGGCTATTCACAAAGCTAGCTGAGGAATCAGCCGTAGCTCCGGCTGATCCCTCGACTAGCTTCGGCCGCCGGAGCCCTTATGTTCAGTCGAACAAAAGGGCTGCTGTATGGGCTATTCACTATAGTCCGTACATCTCCGGAAGCTGGCCGTGTGGCTCAGCCGAGCCCAAGGCATAGGCTGAGCCGAAGTGACACCCGAAGCGGGGCGAACGGCCGGCCATTGGCAGGTCGAAAGCCTTGCAACTGACAGCTGGGCTCCACCTAGTTGCAATGACACATAAGTGTCCCCAGGTCACCTGTGGACGCTGAACTGTCATTAAACAATGACAACTGGGCGGAAAAGTCACAGCCGCCTCTGCCCAGTTGTTATTTATTGGCCGGAACCTGCTAGCAGGTCCCGGCCAATAGTAAACAGTTGGGCGGAGCTAGCTGTCACTGCTAGCTCTGCCCAATTGTTTGTTTTTTTGTTTTTTTAAAGAAATCTTTATTTATTTATTTAAATGTATCATTTATTTACATTTTTAAACATTTGTTTTCTACTTTTTTGTTTGTTTTTTTTACTTTTTTCACTGATTTTCTATTCTGCTCGGTACCAAGGAGGTACCGAGCAGAATAGCTGAGCCGAATGGCGCTCGGCGGCATTCAGCTATTCACTCTGTGCGAATAGGGCGAACGGCAGTGAGCTGAGCATGTTCAGTTGAACCGAAGCCAGCCGAAGCCAGCCGAAAGCAAGCCAATGTACGGCTGATTTCAGCCGATGTACGGCTGAAATCAGCCATACAAGCCTGAAGTGAATAGCCGAACGGCGTTCGGCTCCCTTCACTTCGGGTGAGTTATTCGCTCGGCTGCCTTCGGCAGCTTTGTGAATAACCCTCTGAATCTTATATTGAAGCAGGTCCAAGGTCACCAGAAAATCTCAACTACAGTGTTGGACATGTTGAGAGTTCCTCGGAATGCAATAAGAAGAAATGAGTTAGATACCAAGGAAATAAACCTTAACTGGTCACTGGAAAGTTCAAAGATCTTTGACCAACTATGGTGACGCTATGTTATTAAATTCTCATCATCCTGCACTACGGTACTTGTTGAGCTTGGGTAAACCAAAGAGGACATGAAGAAAGTTTAATTATAGTACAGACAAGGCCCAATGATGGACTTGCTCTATAGTCTTGCTACGTCTGGCATTTTCAGGGCCCCACAATTGTCCCGGTAAAAAAAAGTGCCACTTACCTTTAGCCAAATGAGTCGTGGTGCTGGATGCCCCCCACTGGAGAAACAGGTTAACCTGACGCGGGTACCAGCACGGAAGCGAATGTCGAGGGGAGGGGCCTCTAGCCATATTTTCTGAGGAGGATCTGAAAACAGTTAACAAACTCAACTGCCAAACTTTAAATTGGGTAACAAAAGGGCCAGAAGACAAAACTGGCAGGTTAATGTACATGAAGAGAGAAATCAGCAAGACTTCCATCTACGTTTTTAAAGTTTTTAGGATAAAAAGATGACTGGGCTAAAGGTTTGTCCCGGTAGCCTAGCAGCAGACAATAGCTTGCCGCAGTTTCAAATATTGTATCTCGATCATTGTATTGATCAAGGTTTTTTATAGGCAACCGTGAATAGATTTAGAATACATCACTGCTTGATGTGTCCAGTGGCACAGAACTGATTAAAGTCCTACATGAGACAATGAGATCAAAGCTCCCATGGCCGTTGTTACTCACACTGCACGCTTAGCTGAACACTGTTGGCCTTGCTGTAGAGGATGGCTTCATTGAAGGCTTCACAAGTCAACTGCATTCCATTATGTTCTCTCTGCACTACGGTGGTAATATTGGACATAGTCACCTTCCCGCCATGATCAGACTACAGGGGGAAAAAAAAAAAGTTATGTTATCGAAAGAAAAACTTCAGGAAAATTTTACATCAAAGGACTGGGCTCACGGGTAAAGCAGACCATAAATATAAAAGTTGTTTTTAAAGGAGAACTATGAGGGGGGGAGGGGGGGGGGATGATTTTCACTCACCTCATGGTTCTAGCCGACCTGTGACAATGAGACTGTCACAGGTCGGCTCAGTAGATCGGGAGGAGAGCGAACACATACAGGCGTTCGCTCACTTCTCGATCCTGTCACGGCCCTCTGCCGTGACAGGGGAGGGGCTGGATTCCCCCCTCCCCGCTCCGATCCTCCAGCGCTGACTGGCGGAACAGACGGTGGAGGGGGCGGGTACAGCTGGCTCTGCCTCTAGATGGGCAGAGCCAGCTTTCACTCACGCAGCTGGGCGGATCCAGACATAATTGTCGGGATGCGCTTCAGCTGCGGCGTCTCAGTACATAGAGAGCTGCGGCGTCTCAGTATACTGAGCTTAGGGTGACAGGAGGTCACCGCTAGTTTGTGTCCTCCCGTTACCCTAAGGAGAACTATGGGGAAAAGCCCTGACCCCATAGTTCTCCTTTTAATATAAGGCAAAAAGGATGTTTCCTCAAGTCCACCAGGATGTGGGGGAAGAATACGAATTTTAGACAATGGAGCTTGGTTTGTGAGGCTGTAATGGAGCCACTATTTCGGCCCTCTGCTGCTCTATGAAGCCTGGAGATTACTTGTCCAGTTGAAATGAAATCAAGAGGATGCATAGCAACAGAAGCAATAAACTTAAATGGACACTGGTCCATACAACCCAACCCCAAAGTCAAGATGATCCTTTAAAATTCCTTTGAAACGCACATCAGCAAACGTGTAGCAACATTAAATACATTGATTGTCTCTATTCCAGGAGAAAGAGAAAAGGTCCACCATGAGGGCAAGATCTCATGGAGCAACAAAGTCTTGGTTTTGACTTTTTTTTTTTAGGTGGACCAGTCACAAAGTAACTGATGCCCAAAAATCTATTACTGTGAGTCTCGGGACTCCTGAACCTGACTGCATGCAGGAAGTGGCAAGTCTCCCTCCATCCAATATGGCAACTCAGCGACCAATAAGGAGGCACTTCTTTGGAAAGTAGATGGGGTGTGTGTCTGTCAGAGTCAAGATTTCTGTGTGTGATTGGGACCTCATAGAAAAAGTGCACTTTGAAAAACTGTAAATATGGGTTTGTAAATATGGGCTTTGCAGTTCCTTGCTTCCAGGTCAAGTTCCATGTCCTGGAGCCCCCAGGAACCACAGTGGGGGTGTTGACAACAGCATAGCCTTTAGTGAAAGTGAAAGACGATTCTGCTGATGTCAGCGTCCACCATGTAGAGCTACTGTAAGTCGCAGGACATAACTTACCAGTGCCGAGTCACATGTCATTGAACCACAGCAATTAAGGAATATCACTTCTTCAGGATTTGTGTTTTATTGACCCCACCCATGAGCAGAGTGGGTAATCTATTAACTGTACCTTGTAACTACTCCTGTTAGTACGGTGAGATTAAAAGACAGGTTCTCCTTAAACTTCTATCATTAATGTACACTTCTATGGATGATAGCATTAAGGTTAGCACTCACATCAGTTATGGTCACCACCGTATCTCCTAATTCCACTGGTCCCAGCCACCAGCGGATGGAGACGGGGGGATTGCTGGTAGCTGTGAAGCAGGACAGGGACAGGCTTTTGTTCTCCGCACCGCTAGTGGGGCCCAGGATGGTGACTTTAGTGGGAAGAACTGCAAAAAAAAAGAGACAGAATTGGGCTAATGTGTGTTTTTTCAGCTCTGTGTTACCTGTGTAACATCAATGTCCTAAAAGGAAGGTACTATATGATGACAGCAGTTATTAGGAAGAATGCTGTGTCTCTTTATAAGCCTTAAGGTCTTTAAAGAGGGATCCCAATTGCAGACCATTGGGTGCCTGGCATTCATGCAGAGGGTGAGAAGTCCATGGAAGGAAGTCCACTGCCACTCTACTCCATAACGAATGATGTGTTCTTATTAAGAACTGGAGCCATTTCCCCTTATCAGCATCAGATAAAGCCCCGAGAGTTGGAAGTTGACTGGTGGAGGTGAACAGTTAACTCGGTTCTTCCTAAGAACATGATACATTGAGTTCAAAGTGTACTTGTTTTCCTCAGGACAGCACCCCCATTTTTAAAGGTAGTCCGGCATCCCCCGCATCCCCCCCC